GCGCTCCGGCCTCGGGGTCCCCGCCCCCCGCCTCACACCCCGCGACCCTCGCCCTGCGTGGAGGGCGGCCCGGCTCGCGCCGCGGCGCAGTCCGCAAGGGCCCTGCACGTGGCGTCTGTGCGGGATCCGCTGCGGCTCCCCGTCTCCGGTCCCTGTGCTCAGGGCCGCGGGCAGGAGGCGCGGGGCGGGGACGGGCCCAGAGCCACGGGCCGCTGCGGAGCAGGGGCCGGGGCAGGGCCTGCGGGACGCGGAAGACGGCCCGAGCCCCGCCGGGAGCGCCCTCCTTCCTCCTCGGCCGCCGGCCGCGTCCTCACCACGGGGGCCGGGGCTCCTCCACCCAGCCCATCCTCCGGCTGCACTCACCTTCCCGGGGCCTCAAGCTCCGTAACTGAGCTGAGGCGATGCGCCAGGGTTCTGAATGCTCCAGGTCCTTCCTGAACAGGATCTCCAGGGCCTGACGGCCATGGGGGGCCTTCTGCCCACCACCCGTGTCTCCTGGCTACCACTCCAGCTGGGCTTCCACCCGCACAACCTACTGAGACTACTCGACAGCAGTGCACAAGGCAAATTAAAAACTCCTGCTTGTATTCCAGCGAGTGAGGCAGAAGAGGCCCACAGTGAGGGAGTTATATGCCATACTAGAAACCGATAAAGGCTATGGCAGAAACAAGTAGATTGGCATTAGGGGGTTGGGGTCCTGGTGAAGGTGGTGGGCAAAGTAGGCCTCATGGACAAAGGTGGCCATTGTGACCAGACCTAAGTGAAGGAGAGCAAGAGGGGACAAGGTCAGAGAGGTGGGAAGGGGGGGTCACGTAGGCTCTGTGAGGACGTTGACTTTACGCTTAGAAAGAAGGGAGGCTGTTGGAGGATCTGAACAGGGAAGCAGCCTGTCAATGACTCACGCTGGCTGATGGGGACAACTGTTTACACCGGGAAAGAGTGGAAGCAGGAATGCTGTTAGGGAAATGAATGCAAGGGCTCAACCAAGAAACGATAGTGTTTGGGCACATATGCTGGCGGTGTTCTGTAGCAGTCAGGGTAGCCCTGGTTATGCTACAGTAACAAACAACCCCAAATTCTCAGTAGCTTAGCAAAATAAAAATGTATTTCTTTTTTTTGTGAGGAAGATCAGCCCTGAGCTAACATCCATGCTAATCCTCCTCTTTTTGCTGAGGAAGATTGACCCTGGGCTAACATCCATGCCAATCCTCCTCTTTATGCTGAGGAAGATTGGCCCTGGGCTAAACATCTGTGCCCATCTTCCTCCTCTTTATGTGGGAGGCTGCCACAGCATGGCCTGACAAGCGGTGCCTCGGTGCGCACTGGGGATCTGAACCCCGGCCACCAGCAGTGGAGCGTGCGCACTTAACCGCTACACCATGGGTCCGGCCCCTAAAGGTGTATTTCTTACTCATGCTACATGTTAAGGTTACAAGGCAGTTCAATATATGAATATACAGTTGAGGGGAGATGTCCAGCCTAGGGGTATAAATTTGGCATTCATTAGCATATTTGTTATATTTAAAGCCATACAACTGGATGAGATCACCGTGGGAGAAAATGCAGATAGAGAAAAAGAGAGATCAAAGACTGAACCCTGACACTCCCATGTTAAGGGGGAAGAGAGGCTAGAAAGAGGAGTCAGTAAAGAGAAAGAAGATGTTAAGTAGGAGGAAAACCAGGAGACGGCAGTGGCCTGGAAGCCCAGTGGAGACAGCACCTGTGGTACAGGGAGGGATCAGCGATGTCAAACGCTGCTGACAGGTCCTGTAAGATGAGGATTGGGAGTTAGTTATTCAATAGATTGAGCAACACAGCATGAGGGCACTGGTTACCTTGACAAGCACAGATTTGGTGGCGTGGTGGGGGAATGAGTCCATAAATGGTTAAGAGGGAGTGGAAGGAGACAACTGGAGACCATGAAACAGACAACTCCCCTGAGGCGTTTTTTGCTAAAAACAGGAGTCAGGGTGCTAGAGGGAGTGAGGAAGGTAGTGGCCAAAGATGTGTGGATTTGAGATTGTGAGAGGGCTGCAGTTGTTGGTGACTACCATAGGTTTCAGTTACCTACCAATGTGTAACAAACCACCGCAAACTTAACGGCTTGAAACAACATTCATTTATAATTTCTCGCAATTCTAATTGACTGGGGATCTTCGGTTGCACATGGTGTCAGCTGGGAATTTGAGTGGGACACCTCATTTCTCCTCCGTGTAACCTCTCTCTGTGTGATGTCTCATTATCCAGGGTTTCCCCACATGGCCAGGCAGGATAGCTAGACTTCCTTACAGTGTGGAGGCTGTGCTGTGTGTGACAAGTGCCACTGGGCAAACATTTATTGGGTTTCTGCTTGAATCATGCTTGCTAGTATCTCACTGGCCAAAGCAAGTTATGTGAGCAAGCCCAAAATCAGCGTAGGAGGGCTGTGCACAAAAGCATGGGTTCACTGGGGGGCTTAGGAAGTGTGGTTCAGTGGAGGGCTACCAGTGGAACAGCCTGCCCCAGTCCGCCCTCTGGCCTCTAATGATCCATGCTCCTCCCACATGAAGATTGCACCCAGCGCCTCCTAAGACCCTCAGTATCACCATCTCATCAAGGTGTTAGGCTTAGAGTCCAGTATCTTGTGATATGCAACAGGACCAGATGTGGATGAGAACACCTCAGGTGTGACCTCTTTTGCTCCAGAGGCATGTTATCACCCCCCCCAATACCCAACATTCTACGGTGGAGCACAAGATAACTGAATAGACACCCCATTCAAAAAGGAGGAGTGTACCCCACAGTCACTGGTCCATAACAATTTGGAAATTCAGCCAGACGTCCATCGCAGCGTTCTTTGATCAGGGCCTGTCTGTTCCCCGTGTGGTTCCCTGACCTCCTGTCTGGGCAGTGCTTGGCTTCTCCCTCTGGACTCTTGGCCTTGCACTCTCGGTCATCCTCCCTTTCCATAGGAAATGGCCCAGGTTTGCAGCTGAGTAGCTTCCTCAGCTTCTTGCCTGTAGAAAGTTGGGGGCCCAGAGGCCTCTTTTATTTCAAACTCTGTCCATTTTAGTTCAAGCATATACAACCCTTAAAAAATTTGTGGATTTTCTGTGTATCAAATTAAAACTCACTTCATTAGACAAAAGCTACACCACAAATGTCTTTGAGAAGGTTCCTTTCTACTGTGGGCTACAAGTCAGGCACTGTGGGACAATGACCTCAAAATTCTTAGAAGCCCTTTTGTATGGCTGACAGGGTCTATGAGGACCCACCCACCCAGAAATCTTTCAGAGGTCTTTTTTTTTTTTTTTAAAGATTTTATTTATTTATTTTTTCCCCCCAAAGCCCCAGTAGATAGTTGTGTGTCATAGCTGCACATCCTTCTAGTTGCTGTATGTGGGACGCGGCCTCAGCATGGCCGGAGAAGCAGCACGTCGGTGCGAGCCCGGGATCCGAACCCGGGTTGCCAGCAGTGGAGCGCGCTCACTTAACCACCAAGCCACGGGGCCGGCCCTCAGAGGTCTTAACAAGGGATCATACAACCACACCCTTGAATTTATTTTGGCCCCGAGGCCATGTTTTGTTGGCAGGACCCCGGAATTGATCTTCACCACGACACCATCGCTCACCTTGAGAACCTCTTGCTGCCTGGAAAGGCTGGGAATGAGAAATAGTTTTTATTTGCCAACTTAGCAAGACCTGGCTTAGACACATGTCCTCTAACTTCTGCTGGAAGATGCAACAGTCGCTTCTTTAGTTCCTTTCTCTCTTCCTTCACTTTCAATAAACAAGTGAAAGAAGCCAACTGGCCCGCTAAGCTTTCTGCTAAGAAAATCAGATCATTACAGACATTTTCTTTTGTGTGTGTGTGAGGAAGACCAGCCCTGAGCTAACATCTGATGCCAATCCTCCTCTTTTTTCTTTTTGCTGAGGAAGATTGG